GTCGGAGCATAAAGTGATTGACTCAGAGGTAAGTGTGATGCATTATATCATTTAAAATATTGATTTCTGAATTTTGGTTAAGAAAAGTTGGGGGCGTCTTATACATGGGGGCGTTTTATAGACGGAAAAATACAGTAATTTTTACCTGTACTGCTGTAAACCTTTTGCCAGGCTATGGACATTCAAGTATTTACATATTCCTAACAAATGTAAATGAGCTTTAAAACAAACCATCACTGACCTCGGTAGCTGCAGACATTGTCAATCAAAGCATCTTCAATGATCACAACAGAAGCACTGAAGTCATTCAAATAGTTATCAAGGCTAATGCCACATGCGTGGATTTGTAGCAGCTACAGAATTGCTCTCCTGTGCTTTTTTTGTTGCAGAAACAAAAACGAATTGCAGTCAATGAAAGGTCTGTATACTAAAGGTCTACATCCAAGCAATTTGTAGCTCAATCCTGAGTGAATGACTGGAGCTAGCAACAGAATTGCTAGCTTCAGTAGCAGTCTTCCAGCCTTCTATGTAAACACAAAGCAGGTGCTCCAGGAGGGGAGCAGGTTGAGCTGAGCAGGCTTAAGCAGCGAATGATTAAACAACCTTTAGTGCTTCTGTTGTTTACGTTAAGAATGGTTTATTCCACAGTACCTGCATCTACAGAGGTCATTGACCGTTCAAAGCCATGTTTGATGGTGCTGTATTAATTGTTTCATCCCCTGCTAAACGGAAACCTGTCATGAAAGAAATGTAGTAGCTACCATGTCTGGCCATCTCTCACCTTATTACTTTTAATCACAAACATGGTAAAAGCGTGGAGCACATCAATGCCAAAATTCCATAGAAAACAAAGAAGAATGAAGCTGTAATTTCTGTTACTTAAATGTGCATGTTAAAAATGTGTTAATACTTTATTGTGCAAAGTCTGAGCACAGATTTACTTTTAGAGCTTGGTTACACCACAAGCGCTGGACTGTGTTGCTGAATGCAGCCAAAATTCCGTTACAAAATTACAAAGGTATAGTAACACATTTTGATTACAGAAGCTGAAAGAACTCCTAATCACAATAAATGAAATACATCATGAAAGTGCTGTGGCTACAGGATCTGGAAGATTCCTCCCACGTTGAATTGATACAAACATGTATCGGGTGTCCACCCACCTGATACATGTTTATTGTAGGCCTGACCGGATCATTTCTGATGCCAATGTTGTAAGGTTTATAAACTATGGCAATCTCTACTATGTGGTGTGAGTATATTTATTACACTTCCAGTAGGCTTAGATATAGGGGTATGCATATTTAAGGTTCGGAGCTGTCCAGGAGCTTATAGGCTGTGCCAAGAGATGTAAGTTTGATAGCAGAAAGAGAAAGGAGAGTGTGGAAAATGGATTGGAACATTATCGGGGAGAAAGGGTAAGGGAGGAGGTAACGTGAGATGTGATGGATCCTCACTTCTCATGTGACTGGAGGAACAATGGGATCTTATTAAATCTCTTGGGAGATAATGCTCAGCCCATGGGGTCTAGACTTCTTCAAGCTTTCACATAATGTCCTTGAGGATTGCAGCCATTTTTTTCATTCCATAAGGGCCATGCTATTTTATGTTTACTTTCAATAGATTTTTATTTGGGCATTTTCAATTATACAAGGCAGGATAAAAGAAAAAGGAATCGAACAACAAAGAAGGTCCGAGTAGGACCAAATTAACAACACGAGGCACAGGTAAAAATATATGCACTATAACGATAGAGTATGTACCATGCTATATTGTGAGGTCCGAGAGGTTCCAAAAATATAATATCGGAATATCATATGTATCGCCACCCTTAGTGTTCATGGGGTAGGTGTGTTTTTCTGAGACCACAGATACCAGGGTTGCCATTTCTTTTGGAAGCTCGCTATATTGTCATTGCGACTCGCAAGCGCTCGTTTGTATGCGCAGTGTAGTTGTAGTGTCTCTGACGGGTTAACTGCCTGTGTACCCTTCCAATGTCTCGCTATTGTGAGTTTGGCTGCTAGGAGGGTGTGAATTATGATAGCCCTGAAGTAATTGGGGTATTGGTCTATGCCTACATGAAGAAGGGCTAAGTTGGACGTGGGAGCTATAGGGAGGCCCGTGACGGCCGACAGTATCTGGAAGATCTTCCAAAAGCTAGTGAGGGATTTGCAGGACCAATAGGTGTGGAGCAGTGTGCCTGTAAGTCCACAACCCCTCCAGCACAGCGTGGATGAAGATGGGGACATCTTGGCTAGCCTGGAAGGAGTCATATACCATCTCAACAGTGTCTTCTGAGCTATTTCCCACATGTCCACACATCTAGAGGCCCTCCAGGTTTCCCTGCCCAGCCATATCCCATTCCCAAGCCAGGAGAGGGGAGCTTTTCTCGAAGTTTAGTTTGTTGTGGAAAAGTAGGTAGAAAAATGAGATGCCCTTGGTGTGGGGGAATTGGAGACACAGAAGGAAACTACTTTAAATGGAAGTCTAACAACTAGATTTACCTTGTGTTGGAGAAGGTGAGTTATTTGGAGATATAATATTGTGTATTCTTTCTGAGGAGGTCTAAATTGAGTGGAGATTTCCTGGAATCGTTTTATCACACTTCCCTACATAATGTCCGACAAATTGTCAATGCCACTGTTCCTTCAAGACTGCAGGGAAAGGTCCGGGATCAGAAGTTCCAGTGATGCCATCGGCACCGGAACAGGCCTCAGGGGAGTGTGAGAGAATGTCGACCCTATAAGTGTTCCCCAGGCCCCCACCGACGCTCTGATGGGGGGTGATAGCCCCAATGTGGGAGCGGATTCCCAGAGGCGGGACATTAGGTATCCGAGTAGGTCTCTACCAGGGACCATTTCCCGTTCTAACTTTAGCCATTGTTTGTCTATAGTTGCGGTGAACCAATTTTTGACGTGGGTCAGTCTATTTTATGTTTAAAATGGTACCAAACGTAGCTTTTTTTTAACCTCGGTCGGTCCTGGGTCGCAGAGCGAAGTTTTCCTGAACCGGGTATCAGAGGGGGCGTACTGAGGACACAGTAAGGGCAGAGGCGCATGTTCACTTGAGGGAGGATTGTCTTGCAATGTAAGGCAGTATACACATAGTTCCAGCGTGCACGCAAGGGTGTCTCGGGGGACACACCTTCTTCCACCTGCTGGTGTGTAGAGGGGACAATGTGAAACCGGTGGAAGAAGATGTATACATTATGAGGCATCACATAATGTAAGATTTTACACCACTATTGGAAGGGGTAGTAGGCTTAAGTGTTCCTTTAGCGTGCATGATTGGTGAGTGCTAATTTAGCTAGTACTTCTTTTTCTTTTTTTGAAGTAAACAGGAAAATTGGAAGACAAAATTGTGAGTTAATGGAATCTGCTGGTTTCAGGCTCCCCAATGTGTGTTTGGGTGTTGTGTGGATCCCTTTAACAAAAGGGTGTAAGCCAGTTGGTATACATTGGTCCAAAACCTCCCAATTTTGGGGCAGTCCCACAGTATATGTACTGTATGGGGGTACCTGGAGTCTGGCATTCCCTGAATTATTTGTCAGAGAAAGGGGGTGTAAATGGTGAAAGTGGTGAATGGGGCATAAGTGGACATGAGTTTACCTGAGTACTTACCTTGTCCCATACTTGAAGAGAATGGTGGATAATATGATTAGCATTATGTTTGCACATTGATGGAGGAAGCCAGAGTGATATTTCTACTGAAATCAGGTCTACCTTGGCTGCGTCCAATGACACCCAGAGGGGGAACTTGATCTGTTGTGGTAGGCCGAAAGCTGAGCAATTTGCACTGTGGAATATTTTTTAGCTATGTTTATGTATGTATGTATGTATGTATGTATGTGGTGTTCTTGGTGAGGTAACAATATCCCTTCAGAGAACATTCACCTTTAAAAAAAAAGAAGAGGAAAAAGTTGGAAAGTCCTTATCATGTAGTATTAAAAGTAAGTGGTAGCAAAAGGGACGTATGTAATGAGGATGTGTAACTTTCATTGTTGCGGTTGCCTCACCATATGATGGTGGTTACTGCAACATAGATGAAGCTCTTCTGGAGAATAATGCATGCAGAAAATGTGTGTCACTCAATGTTCTGGGAGATACAAACCAGTGTATGATATACTGAATATATCGGCCTCCTAAGTGCAGCATTAGGAGCGGTGGTGTCGGTGTGTCACTTCCAGTGTAATATACTGAATATATCGGCCTCCTAAGTGCAGCATGAAGAGCGGTGGTGTCGGTGTGTCACTTCCAGTGTAATATACTGAATATATCGGCCTCCTAGGTGCAGCATGTAGAGCGGTGGTGTCGGCGTGTCACTTCCAGTGTAATATACTGAATATATCGGCCTCCTATATGCAGCATATAGAGCGGTGGTGTCGGCGTTTCACTTCCAGTGTAATATACTGAATATATCGGCCTCTTATATGCAGCATATAGAGCGGTGATGTCGGCGTGTCACTTCCAGTGTAATATACTGAATATATCGGCCTCCTATGTGCAGCATGAAGAGCGGTGGTGTCGGCGTGTGTCACTTCCAGTGTAATATACTGAATATATCGGCCTCCTATGTGCAGCATGAAGAGCGGTGGTGTCGGCGTGTGTCACTTCCAGTGTAATATACGGAATATATCGTCCTCCTATTTTCAGCATATAGAGCGGTGGTGTCGGCGTGTGTCACTTCCAGTGTAATATACTGAATATATTGGCCTCCTATGTGCAGCATATAGAGCGGTGGTGTCGGCGTGTCACTTCCAGTGTAATATACTGAATATATCGGCCTCCTATGTGCAGCATATAGAGCGGTGGTGTCGGCATGTGTCACTTCCAGTGTAATATACTGAATATATCAGCCTCCTATTTTCAGCATATAGAGCGGTGGTATCGGCGTGTGTCACTTCCAGTGTAATATACTGAATATATTGGCCTTCTATGTGCAGCATAGAGTAGTGTCAGCCCACAGTGCTGTGTATACAGTTTTTCCAATGTCAGTCTCCTCCCTGCTGTGCTCCCTCCTCCCTCCACCCCCCTCCATAGGGCAGCATTAGCCATCTCTGTATATCATTCACAGGATCTGTTTCTTGCAGCCGTCGCCGCCACCTTGGTCTCCTGTGTGCCCCGGGATCCTCCATCCAGCCCTGTCCGGGTGCCTCCTGCAGACATGTCTGAGCAGAGTGGCAGCAGATACCAGCAGGTAGGAGAAGGGAGTGGTTTAGGCGAGGCTCGGGGATGAGCCTGTGTGTACTAGGCCTCAGTGTTGTTATTGTGCTGCTCTACACCCGGAACAGCAGACAGATCGCGGCCTGGGGCTTTCCTGTGTCGTACACAACGCCCCAGTGACATGAATAGGGCTCTTTCCATGTGACATTTGCTTTAGCACATTTTATATAGGACAGGCCTGAAAGGAAGGAAGACATCTGTTATTACAGTCATACGGTTCTGTATGGTCTGGATGCAGTGTGTTGTGGCTCAGAATCGGTACATCTGTGCTATGGACAGTAACTTCATAATCCTCACTGTAAATTAATGTAATATTTTATTATTGAATATTACATTGAAATGATACAAATAATGTCACACATGGCAGATAAGCAGATTAGGATGTCAACAGCATGGCTGCTATGAGTGTTATCAATTTTCTCTTAAGAGAGTTAACACCCGTTCACAACCATTTGTTGTTAATGTCACACCAAAGCAACTTGCTGCACATGTGTGAAATCACACAACAGACAATGCATTTTGGTGTGGTGTGTTTTGAATTACAGGCACTTCCTCAGTGCATTTGTCGTGCATAGGTCAGCTCATTGAAATGAATCTGCTGCCCATTATGTGACACACACAACCACACACACACACTCGCACCGGCACAAGTGTCAAGCTAGGCTTTTGGAAAAGTGTCGCCATCACCCGTCAGTCAGGTTGCTTGTTCATCATTTCCATGCACTCCATTGCTGTGGGTGACAGGTTTTTTTTGTTTTTTTTGTTACTGTTTTTCGTCTTCAGATATTCTCAGTATTGTATGCTGTTGGTACAATTTTTTTTTTTTAGGTGGTTTGGATCTTTGGTGCAAAAACATTGATTTTAAATGACCCTGTGCATATTTGGGCACGCACATGACAAAAATATTAGAGATGAAGCTGGGTTTGGTGTGAACCCAGGTCACCCAAAACCACTTAGAAACCTGACCGCTGCCACACCCTCCTGACCCAATCAATGGCGGTGGAGGCATTCCTTTCCCCTATGTGATGTATAGGTGCCGGGCGGGGAATGTGCTGCTTTGCAACTGGTTGGTCTGGCAGCAGCGGTCGCAGTCAGTTTTCAGCGGGCTTGGGTGAACTCAGGCGAACTGGTTTCGCACCAAGCCCAGGTTCATCACTACAAACACTCCTTCCGTTTTGGTCTCTTGTAAAATACACTTTGGATCATCAAAACCCCCCAATAATTATATATTGTATTTGATCTTAGTGGTTATCCTCTTTTGTGATTGCAATACAACTGTAAACATCCAAATGTAATGAAATTTGCAGCAAAGAACTAGGAATGTGCAATTGTGTGTGTTCCTAGTTCCGTAAAATGATCATTGTCAAGGTAACTGATGCATACCAATGCTACTTAACTTAGCCTGCATGTGTACTCTTCAAAATTGTCTAGCAGCAGAAGGGTTAAAGAAAATTATGGAGAATTATTATTATCCCATGCACTGGGGCAACCCCCACTCTGCAAGGGTTAAGTGTTTGTTTTGGTCTAGGGAGGAAATTAACAAAGATACTTATCTGATCCTCGGAGCCGGCTTGCTCTTAGACTGGTCCCTGGAGCCTCTTTCCCCCTCTGTTGCAGTGGTCTAAGTTTCCTGAGTCATCATGTTATATACACTGAGGGAGGAATTGATCAAAACTGGAGCAGTTGCCCATAGTAACCAATCAGCTTTCACTTCAAAACTCAAGTGTAAATGCCAAAGAGAGACGTTGATTGGTTGCTATAGGCAACTGCTCCAGATTCTATCGGCTCCAGTTTTGATCAATATCCACCATGGTGTATAGAACGTGAGGACTCCGAGCGACATACCATCGCTGGAGCATAGGAGGAGACCTGCAGGGGGGAGCAATGTCACAGCCGGCTCAGAGGATCGGGTGAGTATATCTTTTCCGCCCCAGACCAAAAAGAGCAGTTAACCCTTGCAGTGCTGGGATAGCCCTACTGAAAGAGTTAATAATAGTTTTCCTCGGAGTGCCGCTTTTAAATAAGTTCACTTATAGTTAAAAACCCCATA